ATATCTGAAAAAGACACGGTTCAAAGTCATTAGGGATAGGGGTCAAATTTAATTTAAACACAAACCCTCCTAGTTAAAAAGTATCTAGCAATCAGAATTCAATTCTCTCTCACAGCTTTACACAACATTTCCTACAATGGGATTTTTCCCTTTCCAAGTTTCCAGGAAGTATTTCCATCACACAGTGAATAATCTATGCAGACTCAGCTTTGGCTCTAGCCAATGAAGCTGAGAACCTGGCCAGGCCCTCTTGTTTGTGTCTGAAAGGGGGTGTCCAGTGGTATATGCTGAGCCCAGGGGTGGTCTGGACTCTGGACCAATACCAGCCTTGGGCTGTGTCCCAAATGTCACCATATTCCCTATACCGTGCACTACTTTGAGTTTTGACCAGAGCTGTATGGTCAAAAGTAGTGCACTAAATAGAGAATATGGTGCCATTAGGGACACAACCATGGCCTCCTTTATTAGGAGGATGATGGAGGCTTTTTTTTTTCTCTTAAGGAAAAAAACACAGCCTTCTAATTCAGCCCGTCTTCTCTTTCTTCCCATTGAACCCCAGCCATGACGCCATTGATGTTCTCATTCTCTCTGAACCACCAGAGGATTTGTCCAATGAACTCCTCGTCTACCAATTACTGGACATCATGGCACAGGAGTATTCATCGAAATGACCACTATTGGGGAAAAATAAATGATCTGGCCTGCTTAAGCCCATTTCTTGTTCATTACCAGTGAATACAATTTATCTGAGGTAAAATATTTTTCAGATACGCAACCTTTGGATGCATGTCTGGATATGTGCAGCTAGTCAGTCTACTAGCTATAAGTCTGCTGGTTAAAGGTCTATGGACATTAGCAATTGTCCATTCTAGTAACAGAAAAGGGATTCCTACTGATATACAATGGGAGGCTTACATTACTATTATTGATTATCACAGAGTAATTAGAGAGTAATTAGTACTTCAAAGTTATAAAGCTAATTCATGAGCTTTAATATACAGTGCATTCGGAAAGTATTCAGACCCCTTTACCTTTTCCACATTTTGTTATGTTACAGCCTTATTCTAAAATTGATTAAATTAATTTCTCTCTTCATCAATCAACACACAACACTCCATAATGTCAAAACTAAAACAGGTTTTTCTAAATTTACATAAGTATACAGACCCTTTGCTATGAGACTCGAAATTGAGCTCAGGTGCATCCTGTTTCCATTGATCATCCTTGAGATGTTTCTACAACTTGATTGGAGTCAGCCTGTGGTAAATTCAATTGATTGGACATGATTTGGAAAGACACACACCTGTTTATATCAGGTCCCATAGTTGACAGTGCAAGTCAGAGCAAAAACCAAGCCATGAGGTCGACAGAATTGTCCGTAGAACTCCGAGACAGGATTGTGTCGAGGCACAGATCTGGGGAAGGGTACAAAAACATTTATGTAGCATCGAAGGTCCCCAAGAACACAGTGGCCTCCATCATTCTTAAATGGAAGAAGTTTGGAACCACCAATACTCTTCCTAGAGCTGGCCGCCCGGCCAAACTGAGCAATTTGGGGAGAAGGGCCTTGGTCAGGGAGGTGACCAAGAACCCGATGGTCACTCTGACAAAGCTACAGAGTTCCTCTGTGGAGATGGGAGAACCTTCCAGAAGGACAACCATCTCTGCAGCACTCTACCAATGAGGCCTTTATGGTAGAGTGGCCAGACTGAAGCCACTCCTCAGTAAAAGGCACACGACACTCCGCTTGGAGACTCTCAGATCACGAGAAACAAGATTCTCTTTGGCCTGAATACCAAGCGTCATGTCTGGAGAAAACCTGGAACCATCCTTACGGTGAAGCATGGTGGTGGCAGCATCATGCTGTGGGGATGTTTTTCAGCGGCAGGGACTGGGAGACTAGTCAGGATCAAGGGAAAGATGAACAGAGCAAAGTACAGAGAGATCCTTGATGAAAATCTGCTCTAGAGCACTCAGGACCTCAGACTGGGGCGAAGGTTCACCTTCCAACAGGACAACGACCCTAAGCACACACACAAATCAATACAGGAGTTGCTTCGGGACAAGTCTCTGAATGTCCTTGAGTGGCCCAGCCAGAGCCCGGACTTGAACCCGATCGAACATCTCTGGAGAGACCTGAAAATAGCTGTGCAGCGACTCTCCCCATCCAACCTGACAGAGCTTGAAAGGATCTTCAGTGAATAATTGGAGAAACTCCCCAAATGCAGGTGTGCCAAGCTTGTAGCGTCATACCCAAGAAGACTCAAGGCTGTAATCGCTGCCAAAGGTGCTTCAACAAAGTACTGAGTAAAGGGTCTGAACACATATGTAAATGTGATATTTCAATTTTTTATACATTTGCAAAAATGTCTAAAAACCTGTTTTTGCTTTGTCATTATGGGGTACAGTGTGTAGATTGATGTAAAGAAAAAAAACAATTTAATCCATTTTTGAATAAGGCTGTAACGTAACACAACGTGGAAAAAGTCAAGGGGTCTGAATATTTTCTGAATACACTGTATATGACATAATTGATAAGAATCTAGCAGCGACTACATCTCAAATCCTCATGACATTTTCATATGAAGAAGCACTGACTTTTAATGAGCACTAAACAGTAAGCTTTGTTTATCACTTAGGTCTAAGTCACAACGTAAGTCCTAATATTCACCAATTGGTCACATAACTAATTCCTGAAAAGAAATGGTGGCCCAAATCTCATATGTTGCAGGCCTTGTGCGATTTCAGAGGGCAGAGAGAGAGTATGTCCAACAGGGGCCAACCTCTCAATGCCTCTGGGGCCTAATCATTTATGGCCCCTAGTGACAGAGTAGGCCAATACATCAGGCCAGGCTAACTAGGCTCTGTTGTGGTAAGAAAGGAGGAGTTTGATTTGTGGCTGGTTCACTGATGTTCTGACAGACACTGGGGGGGGGGGAGGGGCCAGGCCCAGCTTGATGTGCTGCTAATGGGCAGGCATGCTGGGTTCAGGGTCCTGGGCTGGCTGGAGGTAGTGCACTGCACCACACACTGCTTCTTCATGTTTGTTTTCACCATCAGCCCCTCATTTCAAAAATCACATTATTGGTTAGGCTTAATAAATTGACCATCGGTTGACTATTCTGACAAGGTTGCTTATAGACGGGTTGGTTGTTCAGCAACAAAACCGACATGTGCGCAACTATGGGGCAAAAAAAGACAGGGTTGGCTTAGATTGTTGACAATAAACTATATTTAGTCTCCAATGTTTATTGAAAACAAATACATTTGTACAATGAGCACTTGTCTCTCAAATACATCATTACAGTTGTTGGTTAGTTGGCTAGCGAATTCTTGCCATATTAGCATAGACTTCACATCAGTCAAAACACCTCAAAACATTAGGGGTGTAACAGTTCACCAAACCCACGCTTCGGTACGTATTGCGGTTTTGGGGTCACAGTTGGGTTCGGTTTCGGTACAGCAGGAAAATTAAATGCCAACAGTTACTGTAGTCATTTTTTGTTTATTTAAGAAAATACAAAGTGTTGGTATTCATTCCATGATAATGAGTCATATAATGCCTGACGAGCGCACAATCAGGAATACCAACCTTTTGTATTTCCTTAAATGAAGAAGAAGCAACAACAACACTAAATGAAAGTGCAATATGCATGTGAAATCAATATGTAAACATGGCTCAGACATTGTATAGGCCTATGCTATGTTTTCTTACTGGGTTGATGTCGGCGTAAATGTGTCAACATGTTTGAGGTGTTGACAGCTGCATAGGCTATTCTCGTTGTGCAGTGGCTACATTGTACTGTTAACTCTGTCCATCACTGTTGTAATCTTCCGGGAAGCCAAAACGTTCCCAAACTGGATATTTAAACAATGATGGAGAATTCTCCTGGTTTGTCGACCCCACCACTTGCCATCGTACAGAAGTAGTTCCTAGCTGCGCCTCACAAAAGGACAGTTTGAAATGTGCCAATTAAGATTATAATTTTCATTACAACGTGCACATAGGCAATAGTTGGACCGAACCGAGGTCCCCATATTTGTACCGATACACCTCTATAAGACATGGTATCAAGAACAAGATAAAACTAGCATGGCCCACATGGCAGCTTCTTCTCATGGTTGCTTGCCATCTGGCCATCCAGAATCACATGGCCTTCTGCCCCATTGAAGCGTGTACATTGTTTTAGTGACGTTGTCAGCTAACCCGTCTACAACTACACCGAACAAAAATATAAACACAACATGAAACAATTTCAAAGATTTTACTGAGTTACAGTTCATATAAGGAAATCAGTCAATTGAAATAAATTATATGGATTTCACATGACTGGGAATACAGACATGCATCTGTTGGTCACATATACCTTTTTTAATATGGATTTCACATGACTGGGAATACAGATATGCATCTGTTGGTCACATATACCTTTTTTTTAAAGCCCGCTGTCGTACACGACGATCCAGAACATCCCAAACATGCTCGATCATTCTGTTTAATCAGCTTCTTGATATGCCACACCTGTCAGGTGGATGGATTATCTTGGCAAAGGATAAATGCTCACTAACAGAGACGTAAACAAATTTGTGAACACAATTTTAGAGAAATAAGCATTTTGTGTGTATGGAAAATGTCTGGGATCTTTATTTTCAGCGCATGAAACCAACACCTTACATGTTGCGTTGATATTTCTGTTTGGTATACAATTTTATGCTAAGCAGGCACTTCTTATTTAAAACAGCAGATTACTTTCTAAACCTAGATCCCAAACACAACATGAGTAATGTATATCCATGCCATCAATAGTTAAAGAAAATAAATGATAAGGGCATCATTGCTACTGGTACAACCTAGTAGCACCTAACAAGCATAGTAAGCCCCATCTGGCTGTTTTTAAAAGGAATGTGTGGGATTGGTTGGCCTGTATGTTCTGCTGCAGAATTACAATTGTGCCGAAGATTGCTTACTTACTAGCCTTGCTGACAGAGACTACTTACTTGCAGTCGTGTATAGTGACTCGGGAAGCTGGTATTCCCAAAACTGCACAGCTGTCTAGAAGCTCTTCTCGACGCTGGAACCCTTGATTGTAGTAATTGCCTAGGTGATTATTTGGCGAAAAGTAATTACTTTATATGTTGTCATGTAAAGGAATTGCCACATGGCTATAAAACAACATAAAGAAGGAATTAATACTTAGTTGTATAACTATTACAATACTTGGCTCTAGTAAGCCGTGTCTCTCTTCTTGTGTCAGGCATTGATTAAATTATAGTGCAGTACAAACCATTGTTATTGAACAAATGATCAGAATAGAATATGGGAGACCTAGCTATACTGACAAGTTGGTGCTGCAGCGTATTGCTATTTTCCTAGACGACTAAACTCAACTTCACAATGTCGTGTGTAATTGCGGGCCATTCTCTGGGTGCTGAAATCAGTCGTTTTTGGTAAAAATGTAGTTTTACTTTTATGTGACGTCGGAGCTCCAGTCCGCCCACAACAGTCTCCGCTCCTCCATCGTAAATCGTTGAGTTTAATCTGCTACTATTTTCCATGAAAAATTATGTAAAAGCTAGCCCTGATTGTAGGACGGAATACATAGGCTACTCAAAGGACCAATGAAAAGCAAAATCTGTTATTCATTGTAAACCCACCTTGAGATAAACACAATAGATGAACAGAGGCATTTAGTTCCACGAGTCTCAAAATTGCTGGTGCAAAGAACATGCATTCATCATCTGGATGAGCTGTTAAAAAGAGTGCTCGAACATCGCCAGTTAAATCGCTTGTTTGAGACGATTTTAATTGTTTGTCTCTACATAACATAAATCGCAACAAATGTTTACGTAACTTTGCTGAATTCTGCCAGTAGTAAATGCATTGTATCCAAACAAAGTAGGACAAAATTGCTACGAAAATTACAAGTAAATCATGCATTTTTTTTTTTTTTACCGTTCTTATAAACATTCCGTATTTTCACAATGTTTCCTGTACGAAAGGTTCCGCTACAAAAGTAAAATATTCTGCTATATTTCCTGTTTCTGGAATGTAACGTAACATTTGAATACCCCGACCATATATCATACCTATCTACAAAAAAACTCACAGGAAATTGGCGTAATCAAACGAATATCCAATGTTCTAATGATAACGTTAAATAGGCATCTGAAAGTTGCTCCTTTTCTGTTGTATGCATTTCAGTTGGATGCATCCGGTTGTTGGCAACTCCGTTAAAGGTGCATGTAAGGTGATGTTAAACAACCAACCGGTAATTGATCTTATTCAAATCATGTATTTTGTTTTATCTAAACTATGGACACATGATTACTTATATTTTTGGGGTTGGATAAATCACGATAGATTCGGATCAACAAACAGTTTTTGTTTCAGGAGGGAGCCACTATGGAACTTTGGTTCGCTTGTGGGGATGGTTTGAACGTTACACAACATTGTCCTCTTTGGTATAATAAAAATAAATACTTTTTTAAAAAATCGCGTAGTTTGGAAAACGATTACTTGAAGGCTAATCACTGTTTTAATCTATCTTTAACACACACAAAAAAATATGCTACATGAAAGTCCTGTATTTTTTTTATGTAAGAATTTACACAATCCTGCCAGGACATCGATACTAGACAAATCAAATGTGGTGCAGCCAAACTCTGTGGTTCAGCCTTCTGTCTACTACACTCTTCCACAGTCTGTCAACAGCGGATTTACAAGCATCTGCCCAATAAGACCATTAAGAACACATTTGACATCTTACAGGGTATTTTTCCGAATGTGAGGTGAGTGTCTATCTCTTTATATGTGCATAGAAGTTACATGTTTTTAAAATAGAGCAGAACTTTGGGTTACGTTTAGGCAGCCACTTTAGCGTACTGTACTAGAGGGTGCGAATCACCCTTTGCAAGATGGCGGCTTGGTTGAGAATTGATAGGTGAAATATTGTATCCAACAACATAATGTCGTTTTGCGGTATGCAATGTTTTTATGTACTTTATTACGGGTTCAAGTATGCTGTGTTTACATATTTATGTGAAATGAACGCTACTGTTAATTCGTTCATTTCAACTAGGATGAAACGCACATATCCTTAGATTCAGCAACAAGCTATCGATATGGTAAGCTAGCTAGCATACCCAGTTAGCTAGCATGCAAACTAACAAGGCAAACAGCACCAGGCAGAGAGGAAGGAGTAGACTGCAGCGAACATTGCCTTTGCCAAGTTGCTACTGTTTGCAGCTGTAATCTTGTGTTGAATATCAACTAGATCATTCGTTTTAGACAATCGTAGTTAATGATTGATTTTCAGAGCTTATGTAAAAAGGTTACATTTCTAGCTAGTAACGTTATGCGCAAACTAGCTAGGTAATCATGTCATGTAAGTTAGCTAACATGATTACAAACTAGCTAGTTATTGTAAACATCTGTATAACCACCATTACGAACAAACCCAAAAGTAACAATTTGAATCTTTCACGGAGATCCCATGTTTAGTCAATACATTGCTCTAATATCATCTTTAGTGTGGTTTGTTGCAATCAGTGCTTGTTATTTATTCAGCCTCAACAATACGTTTTGTTCTTGCAACTATAATTCAACATCAGGTCCTGCGTGTCAACAAACTGGTACTAAACGATATTATGTTCTGTATTGATGAGCATGTAAACCAAGTTCACTAATGTCAGCTGGCCTAAAGATGCAGACTCAAATCATCCAGTTTATTTACAAAGTGCACACTTAACCTGTTTCGTCTCCTATAATATGTCTTCATTGGTTGTGAGTTTGTTACTATTTTATCGTCACATTTTATGTAAAAAATGATATGAATGAGGGAAGTGGAAGATACTTTAAATATTCTTATTGGTGGTTGGGATGTTGCTACATTTCTTGGCAGGAAGATGGCATAGCCTGATGGAAGATAATTGTGCCATCCTTGAGGGCATGCAGAACAAGCATCAGAAACGCACTGGGGCAAGCTGCCACGTTACCTTGTGCCCAGCCGCTAGTGCATTTTGTTTTCTGTAGCCTATATCCAAATTGTATCAGAGATGGTTCACAATCATGAGAGGACTGGATTTTAGGCTCCCAGTTTGATCAAAATCAAAATCAAATCAAATTGTATTTGTCACATGCGCCGAATACAACCGGTGTAGACCTTACAGTGAAATGCTTACTTACGAGCCCTTAACCAACAATGCAGTTTTAAGAAAGAATACCAAAAAAAAAAAAAAAATGAAATAAAAGTAACAAATAATGAAAGAGCAGCAGTAAAAATAACAATAGCAAGGCTATATACAGGGGGTACCGGTACCAAGTCATGTACATGTAGGTAGAGTTATTAAAGTGACTATGCATAGATAATAAACAGAGTAGCAGCAGCGTAAAGGGGGGGGCAATGCAAATAGTCTGGGTAGCCATTTGATTAGATGTTCAGGAGTCGTATGGCTTGGGGGTAGAAGCTGTTTAGAAGCCTCTTGGACCTAGACTTGGCGCTCCGGTACCGCTTGCCGTGCGGTAGCAGAGAGAACAGTCTATGACTAGGGGGGCTGGAGTCTTTGACAATTTTTAGGGCCTTCCTCTGACACCGCCTGGTATAGAGGTCCTGGATGGCAGGAAGCTTGGCCCCAGTGATGTACTGGGCCGTACGCACTACCCTCTGTCGTGCCTATCGTTCGGAGGCCGAGCAGTTGCCATACCAGGCAGTGATGCAACCAGTCAGGATGCTCTCGATGGTGCAGCTGTAGAACCTTTTGAGGATTTGAGGACCCATGCCAAATCTTTTCAGTCTCCTTAGGGGGAATATGTTTTGTCGTGCCCTCTTCACGACTGTCTTGGTGTGCTTGGACCATGTTAGTTTGTTGGTGATGTGGACACCAAGGAACTTGAAGCTCTCAACCTGCTCCACTACAGCCGATGAGAATGGGGCGTACTCGGTCCTCTTCTTTTTCCTGTAGTCCACGATCGTCTCCTTTGTCTTGATCACGTTGAGGGAGAGGTTGTTGTCCTGGCACCACACGGCCAGGTCCCTGACCTCCTCCCTATAGGCTGTCTCATCGTTGTCGGTGATCAGGCCTACCACTGTTGTGTCATCGGTAAACGTAATGATGGTGTTGGAGTCGTGCCTGGCCATGCAGTCATGAGTGACCAGGGAGTACAGGAGGGGACTGAGCATGCACCCCTGAGGGGCCCCCGTGTTGAGGATCAGCGTGGCGGATGTGTTGTTACCTACCCATACCACCTGGGGGCGGCCCGTCAGGAAGTCCAGGATCCAGAGGGAGGTGTTTAGTCCCAGGGTCCTTAGCTTAGTGAAGAGCTTTGAGGGCACTATGGTGTTGAATGCTGAGCTGTAGTCAATGAATAGCATTCTCACATAGGTGTTCCTTTTGTCCAGGTGTGAAAGAGCAGTGTGGAGCGCAATAGAGATTGCATCATCTGTGGATCTGTTGGGGTAGTATGACAATTGGAGTGGGTCTAGGATTTCTGGGATAATGGTGTTGATGTGAGCCATGACCAGCCTTTCAAAGCATTCATGGCTACAGATGTGAGTGCTACGGGTCGGTAGTCATTTAGGCAGGTTACCTTAGTGTTCTTGGGCACAGGGACAAGGCTAGGTGGTGTGTAGTGTGTCATTCCAAGTATGAATTCAGCATTTCAGCAGGATATTTTATGCCAATTTATTGTTTATGCATTTGAAGGAAAAGCTCAAAGGCAAATGCAGATTTGGTTCCCTTCAAGAATCACGTCTTCTCTTTTTTTGGAAAGCAGCATGATATTAGAGAAGCACAGCAGTTCATGATTTGTCTGACAGATTCATCCTGACAACAAAATGTGCCTTGTTTGGGATTCCCATCCTCAATCTTGTCTTCGCCATGTCTGTCTGGATGACACCCGTGTAACAGATGTTTTTGACAAATCCTAGATTTCAGAGGACAGGGTGTGCATCAGATCAACATTCAGGCATTCCCTCTCAAACATAATCTGTACAGGCTGCCATTTGTGTTAGTGGAACTCTAAAACGGAAGATAGTGTTGTGACGTGACTTTAATGTATGACTGTTATTTATCGAATCACCTAACTATGTTTAATTGTCACTCGATTCAATTAATCATGTAACAATTAACTCATTAGGAATTTGGGGCACCATGGAATAAGTTGTTTAACGAGTTACCATCTCCCGAATTAAACTCTTAGATATATGTTATATTTTTGTTCAGTATATATGTACACTACCGTTCAAAAGTTTGGGGTCACTTAGAAATGTCCTTGTTTTCGAAAGAAAAGCATTTTTTTGTCAATTAAAATAACATCAAATTGGTCAGAAATACATTGTAGACATTGTTAATGTTGTAAATGGCTACTGTAGCTGGAAATGGCTGATTTTTAATGGAATGTCTACATAGGCGTACAGAGGCCCATTATCAGCAACCATCAGTCCTGTGTTCCAATGGCACGTTGTGTTTGCTAATCCAAGTTTATCATTTTAAAAGGCTAATTGATCATTAGAAAACCCTTTTGCAATTATGTTAGCACAGCTGAAAACTGTTGTGCTGATTAAAGAAGCAATAAAACTGACCTTCTTGAGACTAGTTGAGTATCTGGAGCATCAGCAATTGTGGGTTCGATTACAGGCTCAAAATGGCCAGAAACAAAGAACTTTCTTCTGAAACTCGTCAGTCTATTCTTGTTCTGAGAAATGAAGGCTATTCCATGCGAGAAATTGTACAATCTTGTACAATGCTGTGTACTACATCATTCACAGAACAGTGCAAACCGGCTCTAACCAGAATAGAAAGAGGAGTGGGAGGCCCCGGTGCACAATTGAGCAAGAGGACAAATACATTAGAGTATCTAGTTTGAGAAACAGGCGCCTCACAGGTCTTCAACTGGCAGCTTCATTAAATAGTACCCGCAAAACATTTTTGTTGTTGTTC